ATTGTAACTTGGGTGCAAAACATGTTTTTATTGTCTCAACACTTATATTAGTATACTATTGTGAATCATTAAACAGAAATATTCCTTGCATCATACGTTAACGGGGGAAAATAATTTTCAAGAAAATACTTAATTTATCATTTATCAAAACAATATTGAATCTTGTTCCCTTATAGTAATAAAATTGACCCCTGTACACTGTTGACCACTTACCCAACCCTTAAACCAACCCATACACCGAACCTGAGCCTAACCTTACTAACAGCAAGTATTGTGCATTAACAAAAGCTTTTAATCATTGTATAACATCTGTTAAAATCATTTATAGATTTTCAAGATGTGCATGATCATATGAATTAGAAGTTTAATGACATTAGTAAGCATTTTAATTTACATGAAATGTTAATTATTAGGTAATGTTATTATTATTAGGTAACATTAACAAGCACATTATTACACATTTCTAGATATATGAATATATATATATTAACTAATGATCCGTTAAACATTACATTAGTTAGTGAACATTAGTGAAGTGTGGTGTATGGTGACCCATACTCGGAATTAGTGCTCTGCATTTATCCCATCCAAAGTGCACACACACAGCAGTGAACACGCACACACACCGTGAACACACACCCGGAGCAGTGGGCAGCCATTTTTTGCTGCGGCGCCCGGGGAGAAGTTGGGGGTTCGGTGCCTTGCTCAAGGGCACCTCAGTCGTGGTATTGAAGGTGGGAGAGAGGGCTGTACATTCACTCCCCCACCTACAATCCCTGCCGGTACGAGACTTGAACCCTCAACCTTTGGGTTGTGAGTCCGACTCTCTAACCATTAGGCCACGACTTCCCCCAATAATTACATAATGTTTGTTAATAATTTATTAATGAAAGTAATTATAAACCCATTTTTCTAAATGCAATGTGATTTTAGCTGTGCAGAAGACACTGCTACCATCTTGGGGTGTTATGGATGTTGCCAGGGTGATGCTACGTGATGCTAAGGTGTTCTGAGTAGTTGCTAGGTGTGTATTGCATAAAAAGAGTCCACTGTAATATTTTGGTTTTTAGATGTGGCCCTTTTCAATTCTACACATTTACATTTTCTGAATACAATGGGATTTTTAGCAGTTCAAAATGGACCGCTACCATGCTGGGGTGTTATGGATGGTTGCTAGGGTGTTGCTATGCGGTTGCTAGGTGTGTAACAAGTGAAAAAAGTCTATTTTACAAACCTAGTGGTTGCTAGGTTTGTAATTTGATAAAGGGTCCCATGTGACATTTTGGTTTGTAGATACGACCATATTCAGTTCTACATGTTGATATTTTCAGAATACATGATTTTTAGCCATTCAAAACTCACCACCACCATGCCAGGGTGTTGCTATGTGGTTGCTAAGGTGTTCTGAGTGGTTGCTAGGTTTGTATCTCGTGAAAAAGGGTCCCATGTGACATTTTGGTTTCTAGATATGGCCATATTCAGTTCTACATGTTAATATTTTCAAAATACGTGATTTTTAGCCATTCAAAACTCACCACCACCATGCCAGGGTGTTGCTATGTGGTTGCTAAGATGTTCTGAATGGTTGCTAGGTGTGTGAAAAGGGTTCACTGTGATATGTTGGTCACTAGATATGGCCTTATTTGATTCTAGATACTTACAATTTCTGAGTACATATTTTTAGCCTCACAAAACTAACTGCCACCATGCTGGGGTGTTATAGATGGTTGCTAGGGTGTTGCTACGTGTTTACCAGTTTTGTGTCACGTGAAAATGGTCCCATGTGACATTTTGGTTTCTAGATCTGGTCTTATTCAAATCTATGCGTTTACATTTTCCGAATACAATGTGATTTTTAGCCATTCAGAACTCATCGCCACCATTCTAGTGTGTTGCTATGTGGTTGCTAGGTGTGTATCACATGAAAAGTGTCCACTGTGACACTTTGGTCTCTAGATATGGCATTATTTGATATTACACATTTACATTTCTTGAATACGTGATTTTTAGCCATGCAAAACTCACTGATACCATGCTGGGCTGTTATGGGTGGTTGCTAAGGTGTTGCTAGGTATTTATTGCCTGAAATTATTTCACTATGATATTCTAGTCTCCATGTAAGGGTGTTATGAATGGTTGTCAAGGTGTTGCTATGTGGTTTCTAAGAGTGTATCACCTGAAAAGTGTTCAATGTGATATTTTGCTTTCTAAATTTGGCCTTATTCATCATGGACAGTTGCTCTAGATATGCCCTAATTTAATTCTACATTTAAAAAAATAATAATAATAAAACGTGTGTAATGCCATGAATGGTTGCCAGGGTGTTGCTAGGCGGTTGCTTGGTGTTTAGTCTCTAGATATGGCCTTATTCAACAGAACATGATTTTTACCCATGCAGAACTACGACACTATGCTGGATGTTGTAAACGGTTGCCAAGGTGTTGCTATTTGGTTTACTGCCTGCAAACAGTCCTCTGTGATATTTTGGTTTATAAATATGGCCTTATTCAATTCTACAAGTTTCATTTCTTGAACAATGCCTGAGCGATGTTTAGCCTTGCAAAACTCACTGCCACCATGCTGGGGTGTTATGATGGTTGCCAGGGTGTTGCTAAGGTGTTTGGAGTGGATTCTAGGTGTGCATCACCTGAAATGAGTCCAGTGATATCCTGGTCTCTCGATATGACCTGACATAACATGCATCTGTGGGATTTTCAACTGTTTTATCGCCAAGCAGAAGAAATCGTACTTAATAAAACAGCTCACCTTGATTCCCAACACTTATAGTCAAAATAAACAAGAGACCAGAGATTCTTTCATTATGAATGTACATTGTATTTTGCATACATGTTATTGTTCTAATTAATGATGAAACACGATCATTAATTCAAACAATAACAGCTTGTGTTTTGTACATAATATTTCTTCAACATACTATAGTATATATATTTTGTCTAGAAACAGTCTGTTGACATGTAAAGGTCCTAAAATAAACTTTAGTTACTTTTGTGTACAGAGAATCGTCCTCCCTGTTGGACAGCATGTCCAGCTGTCTTCACTGTTTGGCGGTTTGGCAATGCAGAGGAAATGAAGGCAAACACATCCTGTTTTCTCTCTGAGTCTCAGATGTTTTGTGCTTTGGCTGCGTGCAAGAAAAGAGCGAAACGGTCCAAAGAAAAGAAAAGAAATTCAAGCTACAAATGTCTTTTCAGTCCAGTTCGAGGCGCTCAAGCCCAACTTCAGCTTCCGGTTCAAGATGCCTCCGATTAAAGGTCTTATGGTGGATGGAGTCAGAAAGAGCAGAGACTTAAATGCCATCAATTCCTGTAAAAGCAAGGTCTTCACGCATCTCACATAATTATACTCTTCTGTGTTTGATTCGTATCTTATAATAAACCTACCAGATGTCAAGTTAAACTTGTGCAGATGTGCGTTATAATCAGGCTCAGACAAAATCTGCATCACAGTTTTTAAAGTCAACTTATGCTTGATTTTATCTATCACAAATTGATGGGATGGTGAACAACAGAGGCAGGTGGTTGAAGGAGAGGACTTGTTTGCAGTGAATATATCTTGCATTAAGTTTCATTTTCTTTCCCAGTTGCCTTTTGTTTTTTCTTGTTTTAAGCATAAACCTCACTAAATGAAGTTGGATTTTTTTGCTTGAAACAGGATAAAACTGCTTTCCAATGGGGGAAGGAAAATAAACTTAATTCAAGATCTCTGAAAACAAGTTCTAATATCTTATGAAAATTTATTTAAATGTTTTTATTGAAAAAAACAAGATAAGAGCACTGATTAAAAATGAATTAATTCCAGTATAAAAAGGGAAAGTAGTTTCAAAGGTTGTTTCAAGTTATTCCAGTTTGATGAAAGATACAAAGCCAGTTTTGTTGCTTCTCTAGAATAACGTGCAACAGTGAATCATTCACTATAAAAAATAAACAGGGTCAATTTTGATTTCATGTTGACTTCCAAAAAACACATTCTGTCCAGGCCTGATAATAATTGACCCCTCGCCAGTCCTACCTTGGCAACTGTTGCCGTGTACCATATTATCAGACAAGCTCTTGCTCCTTTCTAATATAAGTCTATAGAGGATCTGTGTGTCTGAATAATTTTAAATGCATTTTTCAAATCTTTAAATAAACCTTGTGTAATAAATTAAACTGTCGCCCTCATTCCCAAATTAACATGTAAGATGTCAGCCAGAATTGCCAAAAATAACTTAAGCTTTTAATTAGTGTTTTTGACTTGTTTAAAAGTCACATCTAAAAATATCTAAAATCCTGTACAAGATAAATCTACTTGAGAAGCAACACTGCATAAGGTATTGCATAAGACATGGTTTTCATATAGATTCTATCTTTAATATATGAGTATTCTGTCTTACTGCACTGGCAGATTTTTCCATTTGTTTTTAACTTGTTTATACTTAAAAGAAGTGAAAAAATATGCAGTGCATTAAGACAAAATACCCTCTATTAAAGATGCAACCTCTAAAAACAAGTGCTAATAACTTATGCAGTGTTGCTTTAGTAAATTTATTTGGTTTCAAAGATTTTTTTATATTTTAACTGGAAAACAAAATGTATTAATTAAATAAATAAATACATAATTTATGTATTAGTATTTTTTCTTGTTTTCTAGTACAAACATCTAAACATTCTTAAGATTTGCATTAGATTTAAAATGGCATAAAATTGTGTTCCGAAAAAAAAAAAGAAAAAAGTTTTTGATTGAAACAAGAAAGAATATCTGCCAGTGAGGTTAGAAAGATAAGCTCGTTTTCCCTTTTAAATAAGTTTATTTTTCTGACCCATGCACTGACAGATAATTTTTCTTGTTCTAATTTTGATACATTTCTCAGAAAACAAGACTTAAGTCATTTTCCTGGCAAAGTAAATGTACCTTGAATTAAAATGTTTAGATATTTGTACTGGAAAAGGCAAAATACTTACTAAGAATTTTTTTTTTGCAGTGCATGTCATTTTCTGTGCATATTAATTCAGATGATATAGTATCTGTGGTAGTAACTAGCTGTGTTCACTTACACTAATGTGATCAGCTGTGATTGCTTTTCTCTTTTCAGTGACAGCGAGAAGCATTTGGCAGCCCCTGTTCACAGTCTCTGACATTTTTAATCACGTTACTGCGTAATTTATCAGTTTCGGATCCAAAACGGCAGATAAAAAAGATCCTCTGCAATGTCACGCTTCATTCCAGCCCACGTACGAATAACATCCAATCCATTTCACCACTTCACAATCTCATTTTACTAACAATTGCACTGAAATCTGCAGGGACGTGCTTGTCTGAGTGAGCAACAGTAACTAAGGAAGGTGGAGCTTATGGAAGCGATCATCACATGAGGTTTCAGTGCTTGTTCAACAACTTTGTCTCCCCTACATAATTAAAAAGTGCTTTCAAACGGAAATGATGAAATAGTGATACAACTGAGTGAACCATCACATGGATTACTGAAACCAGACGCTGTGATTTTACAGTATTGCTCAAAGAAAGAAGAATGAAAGTTATGCAAACATTAAAACGGTGGCAATGCGAAAACCTAGTGAATTCTGTAAACGAAAATAAAAAGGAATTGTGTAAAAAAGTTCAATCCGAATGGCCACAGAGCATTAAGGCTAGAGCCACGACACACATCAAGGACAGCTCTGTCAGGTGCGCTATATTACACGAAGGCCCGTTTGCGCCCCGGCAGAAAAGATTAGCTTCTACATTCCGAGTGGGTGTCAGAAAGTGAGCGCGGCTTCGGTATCAGCGCTGCTAATCCTTGCCGTGTTGTGAAGGTGGGTGTCCGGTGTGCAGGAGACGGTGGAGTCATGTTCGTCTGTGTCAGCGTCAGCCGCTCTGAATGTACTTCTTAATAACCACGCAGCCGTGTCTGAAGAGCGGGCAGGGCATGCTCTGCTGCAGCGTCCACACGTTCGCACAGGGGTCAAAGGCCTCCATGGTTCCCAGCGCCGGACCCTCGCTGCTCACGATGCCGCCGGTCACGTAGATCTTCCCGTCCAGGACCACGGCACTGGAAAAGACATTATTTCAGAACTGGTTTAATTTCTTTTTTCTTAAATATTGATTTTCACTTTCTGATAAATAAGAACATACACCAGAACCACCTAGAACATAAAAATAAAATAAAAAATAAAACAGATTTAAAAATAAACAAATAAATTAATAATAATAATAATAAAACAAAGATAAATTAATAAAACAATTACAAATGAAAATGATAATAATTAATTCAAACAAATAAGAATGATAAAATAATTTTAAAACATAATAAAAAAAAAAAACGATAACAATATTATAATATAATATAAAAAACAATAACAACAAATCAGACAACCCTGAACCTAACAATACATATACAGTGGCACAGTATACCAGGGTTATTATAGTTATTATAGAGATAAGATAAAATAAGATAACAATAATAACAAATCAGCCTATCAATACATATACAGTGGCAAATCCATAAAAATAAATAAACATGAACTGAAATTAAATTAAATAATATAAAAAAAACTAATTAATACAAAATATTACAAACAGACATATTAAAAACACACCTCTTCCATCTTTATTTGACCCTCTAACTCTAGCACTCTCTATTCTAATTCTATTCTTTAAAAAAACTTGTCCCTTTTAGACTTGCTCTCTATTTATTTACTAACTGCTTGTTTTCTTAAAAACTTCTATTCTTTTTCTACTCTGTTTTCTTTTCATTTATTATATAATCGAGAGTTGTTATAGCACTTACATATCATTGCTCTTTTGTTGATTTTGATTGCTTCCATTGTCCTCATTTGTAAGTCGCTTTGGATAAAAGCATCTGCTAAATGACTAAATGTAAATGTAAAAAAAAAAAAAAATTACAAAAATGACAAACAAAATCACAAAAACGTTAACTAAAGCGAAATCAGAAAATCTAATAAAATCTAATTAAAATATTAACAAAAACTAAAACAATTTATGGATGATAAACTGTCTATACTGGAGTAGACATGTATACACTGTAAGCTAACTCAAAACTGCAAGAACATATATTTTCTAAAGCTAAGGGGTAAAAGTCTTGGCCTATCATGCTCATCTTAATGCAAAACCTTGTTCGCTGGTTCAGTTTCTGATGTGGACAGAACAGAGTACTGAAATACTCTGGCAGTGTCTAAGTTGTGATCTGGCACCAGAACCATACAGTTTTCTCAGATTCCCATCCCTTGTTATTTGAGAAAAAAATTCCTGGATTTCGAACTGCATATATAAGTGTAATGATAAAGATTATGTTCCCATTTGCCATCTTACATAAAGGCTCGGTATTCTAAAACTGTCAAACTGATGGATGAGATGAATCATCTACCTCCTAATCTTCTCTTTGGGCCGTATTCATTTCAAGCCCTTGACAGGTTTCAAAATGTTAATGTGGAAACTCATGCGAGTGTGACTGTAACTGACGTGTAGTTTTGGGAAAACATATTTGTATCGCAAATACACAGCGGAAGCGTAAAAGGTGCCTGTGTGTGTTTTGGGGGGACGTGATGTATTAGCGATTGTTCGGCGGCTCGTTCGTGCTTCATCTGCTGCTGAGCTAATTACTGCCTCTGCTGCGAATACCAATCAGCAGTGAAAGCAAATCGGGCCCAAAGCACGACCCTGGGGGACACCGAATAAAGTCTTAGGAGCGAGCAGGGGGGGCTTTGTGTAAACTGGAACACATCGCTTTGACAATGTGCTTTTCTCAGCTTGATCCATCTGTATTCACTTGATGATGGTTGTTAATGCTCATTTTGTTCATTAACATTACGTAATGGTAGCAGTTATGGGGCGAGAATTGCATTTTTTGGGTTATTTGAAAGCGACTGCAGCAAATTTAAATGAATATGTTGCTGAGTGAATAACGACAATAACAATAAAGTTAACTCAGTCAAAGCACTAAAACCTAAAAACAAATGCGTTTTAGACAGCTGGAGCTGGACCCTGTGGTGTACTATATATCACACGATTAAGAGAGGTTATAAAAACAAGCTTTAGGGACGCTTTTTGACTAAAGCCTCTAAAAGAGTCTAATCTTGACAATAAATGTTTGATCTGAAAAAAATGAGAGTTGGATTCAGATAAAGTAGCCTCAAGAAGACACATGAATTGAGATATATTTCATGTCTGTAATACAATCTAAAATGAGCAACTGCATATTTCCCAGTTTATGGGACCTTTTGAGTCGTAATTACTAAGAAATTAAGTGAAACTACATAAAAAACCCATGTTAGACCAACGGAATCCCATATATGTTAGTCAAACACAGTGGTGTGAATACAGAACTATAAAATTGAACAATATTGCTGAAATGTTTAGGGTTTGTGAGTTTCCAGCATGAATTGCAGCATTAATAAATGATGCAGTTACTGTTGTAGGATAATTGTTTTGCTTTTTTGTTTTGTCATTACTGTTAGTTATCTGTTGTGTTTTATATCTCATCTTTTTATGTTTGTTGATTGTCACCATTCTTTGTGTTTTGGCCTAATGATGAGGTCTACAGAATATACAGCTTTGTAAAACTAGGGGCCCCATCATACACCCGGCGCAAGGTGCGGCGCAAGTGTTTTTGCTAGTTTCAGCCCGACACAGTTCTCATTTTCCCGTCCTGCACCGTGTTGTTTAAATAGCGAATGCATTTGCGCCCATTTGTGTGCCCATGGGCGTGCTGGTCTAAAAAAGGGGTGTGTTCAGGCGCATTGTTGGCACTGAAAATAGACTGCTCCATAGACCAACTCAAACCTGGTCTAAAGTCTGGCGCAATATTTTTTCTTTGTTATTTAAAGAGCGCGTTAGTAATATGCACATATAGGCGGGTGCGCAATGCGTGTACACTTTGCTTATTACACACACAAGGACGCGCAGCAGCACACAAACATTTTTAAAAATGAAAAATTACATTCCGTCTTTTGATCTCTCCCCTGCGTTTCCGCGTTCGTCACTTCTGAGTGGTGCATGCGCAAAGCCAACCTCATACGTCATCTGCCTGGAGCTGCTTCCGTTTACAACAGTGAGCGCAAGCTAGATTATATTGATTATTATGTTTTAAATATGGTTATTTTTCTTACGCATCGAAAAACGCATCGATTCGCTACAGGAGGCCTTTGTTCACCCCCCCGGAGCCGTGTGAGACACGGGTTTTTATGGATGGGATTAAGAGAATAGGGACAACCTGTTTATTCGGACACGCCCTGAGTGCACCTGAGCCGTGCGCTTTATACCTTGCGCTTAGATCATTAAAATAGGGCCCCATGTGTCAAATATCCTTGATTTGTAAGCATAGCTGACCTTACATATTAAGTGTACTATATAACTATATATAGTTACACACGCACACACACACACACACACATATATATTGTTTCATCTAATAGTAAAGAGTTTGGACTGAGATTCTTCTCGCCAAGAGCTCTTACTGTTATTAAGAGCGCAAAGATGGAAGGCGGTCTTGTCAGAGCTCATCTAAATCTAGGTATGACATTCCTCTAAAGCTGTCCTATCATATATCTGCAGTCATTAATTCCAGGCCAGTCACTCAATCGCAAACCTCTCGTTGATGAATGATGGGATTATATGATTTATAGGTCAGTGATGTGGTGTTCGTTTTATTTTTCTAGATGTTAGTCATTTATTCAAAAATATATCACAATGCAGTACAAAGAGGCAGTGACTGGAATATGCCTCTTCTGGGATGAATATGTTAATAAGTCCAAAACAATGATAGAGCTTGGAATAACCAGAATAATTTTTTATATAACTCTGACTGGATTTGTCTGAAAGAGGAAAGTCATATACACGTAGGATGCCTCGGGGATGAGTAAAGCACAGCCTAATTTTCATTTTTGGGTGAACTAACCCTTTAAGTCTGAAGGTTTTGTAAAATATGTAAAACTGAGTTATGTGTGTTGTTAGGCAAGGCTTGGCAATGCACTAGTACTAAAATTTATTAAACTTATTAAAAATGAATCTACATTATAAAACGCCATCTAGTGGAGAACAATCAGAACCAAACCAAGGTTCAAAACAGTACAAGGTAACGAAGACTCCATTGCTTTAATCACATGACTTGGTGAGTTTGATACAAGCTCTGACCCAGTGATTCGAAACAAAAGATTCGTAGATATTTCAAAGCTGTATGAAGCAGTGTTTCAAAAGCGCCCATCACTAGCATTTTGCATTTAGTGAAATTTAGTAGTGTTACTTAGGAAAACAGTTGAGAAAACCTAAAAATCACAATGTATCATGTTGCAAAAGTTTAATACACAAGAAGTGCGATAAATATTAATACTGAAGCACCTTTAACAAGGATAGATTTGTGCAGTAAACCTCTTTTCAGCTCTATTCAAAGAACCATGAATGTACAAGAACAGTTTGAGTAGCCATGAGTAACTAGCTCTCTGACAGCTGCGAAAGCTCTCCATCCAGATTTCTCCATGGACAGATGGTGGTGTGTAAGCTGGTCTTACCTGCAGAACTGTCTGGAGTGGTTCATGTTGGGTCCTGCTTTGATGTTTCCCTTCTCAGGGTCGTAGATGGTGGTGGCTCTGGCGTACGCTCCTCCCAGGATGAAGATATAGCCATTCAGAGTCACAGCAGGGGCGTATTTGTTATCTGAACAATGGGAGAATAAAACACAAGTCACCAATTTTGGGGTTTAAAGGTCAAAAGCCTAAAGGAAACCCATTTTTACCCATTTTAAAATCTCTTTCATGTCCATAAGTGAATGCACTGCATTTTGGATCACAAGCTTGCATGCAAGCAGTGGCTAGAAGCAGCTGATGAAAGATTTTGATGTTTTTTATCCTCAGGAATAATGTGCATTCAGAGTAAGACCAGGAACATATTTTAAGTAAATAAGGTCAATTGGTTTCATGTTGACTTCAGATGAATGTCTTGTTAAAGGCATCGCACCTCATCAAATAAACAAGATCACAAAACCCATTGTGCAGCAGAGACGTAAACAGTAAGCATATTACGTTTCATTTATTGAGAAAGCCAAGCAACAGCTTATTAATTTCAACAAAATACGAGTCTAACAGTAACAGCTGAGGTCAGTGTGTCGGCTGTCCAATTGTAAATCAATAGCCCTGTTCAAGCACATTATGTTGGCATGAATGCGGTTAACTTATTTGATTCAAGTAATCAAGCAGGAGAAAACACATAAATAATTGATGAGTGGCAAATTGAATTGAATTCACATTCAACCCAGCAGCTGCGACTTCAACCTCAGCCGCTGAAGAGAGACGTGAGAACATTGAGCTAATTAAATCTTGAGCCTTTTCAGATTTGAAGTGAGACCTCCCGGGAAGAACAGATATTACGGATAATGTAAAAAACAGAGAAAAGAGGAGGAAACGTTAACAAATAATGGTCAAAAATAGAAGAGCCCATGCAGTCCATGTGCAATGGGTAATACTGAACGCTAAACAAGGGAAGTATTTGATCTCACTTAATCTATCAGAGCTAAGCGGTGCTCTAAGCACATGACAAATAGAAGGAAATCACTACAGTCCAAGAGTAAATCTCACAAAACCTGTTAAGAACCAGGCCATATTCCACCCCATAGTAAAATAATACATTTTAAAAGAATAATAATAATTAAAAAAAAACTCTTTACATTTTTGTGTGTATATTTATATATATATATATATATATATATATATATATATATTAACAATACACTGACTATACCAGATTTGTGTGTGTTAACTACTGTGTGTGTGTGTGTGTGTGTGTGTGTGTGTGCACTTGGATGGGTTAAATGCACAAATTCCAAGTATGGGTCGCCATACTTGGCCACACTTCACTTTACTTTCACTTTACTTTAACTGTAATTACAATACAAGACGAGTTCACTGTTCATCACTATGATAATTTCATTCTGCCAGATTTTTTTTAGCATTGAAAAAAAAAGCACTTCAGCTGAACTTGTTGACTGTCATGCTTGATTTTCAGTGTCAATTTCTTCAACAAACAATGGCCTTTTGCTATAGAAGCAACATGGTCAGGTGGTGTAACTGGTTTGTGTCAATTGACGTAACCAGTATTTTTCATAAAAGTATAATTATATACAGGAAAATTTATGTGGAATAAAATGTAATAATCTAATTTAACAAAATAATATGGTTTTTAACTTTTTTTTTTTTTTACATAATTTGTCAAAGATTATTTAGGAAACAGGTGTTTTCAGCATATGTTCCACCACATATTGCAAAAACGCATTAAAATGTACATTTAGAGATAACTCTAATAAAAACTATTTTCGTGTGATATTTTAAAATGAAGTAAAACTTCTGTAAAAAAATGGTGCATATGCCATTTTTAATTACATAAAATCAACATAAACACACGGTGTACTTTTTAAAATACCTGATGCATGCTTTTAAAACAAGTTTTTAATAGATTTTTGAATTTCTCATCTTGCCAATCCTTTTTTGTCACTGACCCATATATATTCTTTGGCTTAAAATGAAATTCTTTACACTGTGACATTATCTGTGTGATAATAAACAAACAAAAAATGAATGAATGAATGAATTAATAAATAAATAATTTGTTTAATTTTTTTATATTTAAAATTTGCTTATTTAATCTCCAACTATAATTATTATTGCATTATTGTAATGCAAAAATATATATTATTTAAATTGTAATTTCTGTATTATTTAAAGGAATGTTTAAATAACACAGAAAATGAAATAAAAAATACATTCTTTACATTGTGACATTATTTGCATGATAATAAATATATGCAAACAAAAATTTTTTTTTTTGCAATTCAGAAATAATATGTATTATTTAAATTGTAAATTTCTGTATTGTTTAGAGGAATGTCCTTAAATCAAATTAATAAAATGAGATTATTTACATTGTGACATTATCTGCATGATAACAAAATGTAAATAAATAAATAAATAAACTTTTCATTATTGTAAAACACAAAAAATTATATATATTATTTAAATAATTTTTGTACTGGTTAAAGGAATGTCCTGGGTTCAGTGCATTTGCAGCTCAGTAGACAGTGTTTGTGGTCTATATGTCAATTACCAAAGAAAATAGTTTGGTCTCATCCATAAAAAAAAATTAAAGATAACAAAATTCAGTTATTTTGCAGTAAACTCTTAAATGTGGTGAAATGTGACCTAGAGATGTTTTCATGAGATTCAACTTCTACCTTTCTAGAGTTGTTTTCTGAACTTTCTGAGTTTCTTGATTGAATCTCCTTTAGGCATCAGTTCTCCACCTGACCGCACATGTTTGAGGATGATTTTCAGCGCACCCTATCACAGCGCGTCTGCCGTCTCCTGCTGGGCACTGAAGTGTCAATCTGCCATCCTCACTCATGTGGCACAACTACTAAATGGGGCTCTTGAAGGAATATCTCACACACACAGTGCCCTTTTACAGTTAAACAAAGTTTCACTCTTCCACAAATGTGGCTAAAACACCAAAGACCTTCATCTCCCCGATGCATTTCATGGCACAAAACACAATACAGAGCAGCGTGAGCGCGAGCCGGTCCCACAGCGTTTTCTGGCCTGTCAAACACAATAAGCATGCCAGCGGGAGGAAGGTGTTGTCATTCACAGATGGCGGAGCTGACAATGCCGTTCCCTGCCGATAAGACGCACAGAGATGAATAATTGCAAACGGGTATTAATGACTGTCAACGGAGAGACCAACCTCTTACTGCTGACCGACCAAATCAAGCTTCTCCACGGCAGATCTTATCGTTTTTTTAACGCTCAATGTGTCATTGCACCACCAACAATGTAAAAAATACTACTCTTAATGAGGATTTGTGTCAAATATTTTGTTAAAATATCTAAAAATCCTTAAAAACAACATTTAGTTCAGAAGCAATGCTGCATACATGCTTAAGACTTGCTTTCAGAGAATGCATCTTTAACACAAGTGCATTTGTGCATTTTCACATTTTGAAGTATAAACAAGCTCAAAACAAGTGTGAAAAATCTGCAAGGGCAATAAGACAAATACATTGCATATGCAATGCAATCTACAAAACTTCACTATGAAGTGTTGATTCTCACCTAAATTTATCATTTTAATGTTTTTTTTATTTTTTTTGACACTTTAACCGGAAAACATGCCAAAAAAGACTAATTAAAACACCTTTTTGCCTTGCACAGGAGAATGTTATTAGTCATCGTGTATTTTTAAGTCACTTAATTGCAATTAAAATACCACATATACGCTTCAAAAAATTTGATGTCGGTAAGATCTTTTAATTTATTTGAAAGAAGTCTCTTCTGCTCACCAAGGCTGCATTTATTTGATCAAAAATACAGTAAAAACAGAAACCGTAATATTTTGAAATATTTTTACATTTAAAAGAACCATTTTCTATTTGAGTAGATTTTAAAATGTAATTTATTTCAGTGATCAAAGCTGAATTTTCAGCATCATTACTCCAGTCTTCAGTGTCACATGATGATTTGCTGCTCAAGAAACATTTCTTAATATGATCAATGTTGAAAACAGTTGTGCTGCTTCATATTTCTTTGGAAATTGTGATTTTTTTTTTGATTATTTGAAAGAATTAAGTTCAAAATAACAGCATTTATTTGAAATAGAAATCTTGTTTCATTATAAATGTCTTTACTGTCACATTTGATCAATATAAAGATATATTGTGATCAGTCTTTGTTGGGTTTGAACCCACAACCTTTCCGTTACCTCCCCACATCTTCAACCGCTAGTCTTTACTGTCCTACGCTGCAACTATACACGGCTATTTTATTATGCTACACAGTCATTTTAGATCCTTTATTACTGTTGACCATTTCCATGGCTTTATCGATCGAGTCGGAAGTCAAATAACAAGATAATGAAGACTGAGGTGCATTGTATTTGAGCCTTTGCTTGTTCATACACAAACATGGCTGCAATAAACATATGATCCCTGGGCCACAATGTCCACAGCGACATCAAAATCAATAAGCGCCTTGCGGTCCATAGCAACATCAAAATCAATAAGCGCCTGGGCTGAGATGATGTTACCGGCTGAAACCCTCAAGAGTTCATTATCCACCGGCGCAGGAATACCTGCAACACTTGACATCTCTGAACGACCTTTCCAGATCGCTCAAGCCCTTCACAATAATCCAAATATCATGTTTCCTTCTCACATGCGGCTGGCCTTTGGAGATGATGTCAGCCGCCGGCTCTGAACTTTGAGTCGTTGGCTCTAAACGCTCATCGTCTACACAGTCGTACGTGTTTGACCCAGCGTGACTCCACACGTGCGAGTGAACGTCTGCCGTCAGCTGTGGAGTTGAATGTCAGAAGCGGTCATATCTCACTTTCTCATTTCACTATCTGAAGCTTCTGAAGGAGTCTCATTTGACATTATTCACGTTCGGTTGGTTTGGTTCCATGCAAACATCAACACTGGCTGGAGGAACAGTTCAATCCACAAAAATTACAACTCTATCATTATTTACTCATTCGCGTGTCGCTCTGAACCTGTATGCTGTTACTAAAACTAAAAAGGAACTAAAAAGGAGAATCTTTACACAGATCATAATGACATCTTTCCAGCTCCGAAAAGAACAAGAAAACAGCAAAAAAACACCATGAATGTAGTC